GCATTCCAGAAAACACTTGCCTGCCTCCATGTCTGATCCCACCGGGCTCAAGCAGGTGCTCTGTGGCCCCTGTAAGGACACCCTCCCTCTCACAGAGGCTCCAGTCCCATAAACGACAGGGACAGGCTGGCCCCAGGCCACACCTTCCCTCCGCAGCACCAGCAGATGCAGCGTCTTGCCCTTTCATCTGGCATGGAAAGATGCTGGAGGGGTGGGAAGAGGTCTCCAACCGCAGCAAATTGCACTGGCGTCACCCGGCTGGAGCCAGCTGGAACCTGCCAATGCATGCCGGCTGAGGAGCCAGCGCTCCCGCTTCAAGCAGTGGCCAGGACTTAGGGCTGTAGAGCATGAAGTGGCATTTCGGATCTAAGCAGCAGCAGCAGGATGGATGGATTGTGAGCACAGCTGGAAATAACAAGGCATCCAGCCTCAGCAAGGTATTTTCTGTGGCTGTGGTGTGCCACTGACTACAGCTGGGGCTCATGATCCCTGGAGGCACTGCAGTCAAATGTCACAGTGAATCCCCCACCATCACCAGAAGAACTCTTAAAGCAAGAGCAGTGGCTGAACTGTAACAAAAATGTTTAACACCCAAATGCAGTTTCACTGAATTCGTTTGACCTTTCTGAGTGGTGCAGGAGCCCAGCCTGCCTCCCTGCAGCATACGACTCGGCTGTTCTACCAGAGCCACGTCTGAGGAATAGGAGGAAAAAGAGAAAATGGGAGAAGTCGCCCCAAGGCTTGGGGAACCAAATGATGCCTGATACCTATTTGATCTGACCTGTTCCTGAAGACAGTGGAGGGCACATCTCTCAGCTCCATCTGTCTGTCTTACCAAGGAGAAGGGACACAGATACTCCTGCAGAAACCTGTGGGTGTTTTTACAAGAACAGAGGAAGCACAGGCAGCTGCCATGGGTAGAAAGCAGGATTTAAGGGGAAAAATAACCCTGCTTGCTTCATTCATAACCATTTCTACCCAAGCAGAACTTGGCAAGGACATAACATGGGAACAACTATAACCCATTTCCCCTCTAATGAGACAAAAATGAAGACTGAGAGGCAAGAGCAGGCGGGTGACGAGGTTATCGGTGCTCCCCAGCAGGATGTCCGTTAGCCTTTCCGGACAGAGCTCAAACTCCCTGGCATTTCCTTCCGTAACTCATTCAGAGCTGCTGCTACTCCTGAACTTGTCACAGGGCCCAGTTCCCTTGGATCGGCTCTCGGAGCATCTGTGGCAGCCCCGTCCAGCTAATATACGCCTGCCGCCTGTCCCGGCTCTTCCGCAGCAAAAAGCAGCACAGCGCGTCCCAAAAACCTCGGTCATAGGCCAGGAAAAATCACAGCAGCCTGAATCCGATTCTGGAAGGTTTGAGACCACTTTACTTATGAGAGCAAAAGTCATAAAAATGAAGCCAAGGACAGGGATGCACAGCCCAGGGTGGCTGGAGGAACAAATACACTGACAGACACTATGCAATTTCACAGCCATCACTGCTACACCTGCCAGAGCTCAACCCCCTCAGCTCCTTCTTTGCTCTGATAATCACGCATTGAAATGGGGCCATGCCCAGCTCCCTGTCCCCACGCACCTTCTCAGCGGAGAGGAGGGTCCCCCACGCCAGCATCCTTGTCAAGGCAGGCAAGGGTGGAAAACAGACGGTGCCTCTCTGTGGCCAAAGTCCCCCCTCATCCCACTCTTTTTATTTCACCCATGAGTCACTGGCAGCAGGAGCGTGGTGGGAAAAGCCATGCCTGGTTCATGGGCACAGAGCCCAAGAGGTGCCCTAGGACCACGCGCCACAGAGTCACACTCCAGGAGTTGCACATCTGGAGAGAAGGGTTCCCGCAGCTGCCTGGCACTTGCTCCCTGCACAGAGGGTGGGGGGCACAGCCAGGGATGGAGGCAAGCAGCCACATACCTCCTCCACTCTGGAAACCCGTGTGCAAGATGGGAGCAGAAGCGGAACTGGCAGCGCTGGTGTAAGAGGAGAGGGGGCCACACTTTATCCCGTGGGCACATGCACAACACTCCAAAAAGCCACAAAATAAGGAGAAGCAGTCCTGCGGACGAGGGGAAGACCAATGTTGCCCAGCCAGGGTGCACGGGATGGGCATGCACAGCTGCTCCGGCAGCGGTGCAGGGGACTGGCAGGTGCACAGCTTGGTGCAGATGTGGGGACATCCATAACGCGTGGTTCCCACGCCCCGCTGGGGAAGGAGAGATATCCCACAGGAGCCGGCGAAGGCCTCTGGGCAATGCTGGGATCCCAGCGGGGTCCCAGCTTTGTGCACTAGCGCAGGGAGCGCCAGGACAGTGCCCTGTCCCAAGCTGGAGACCAGGGTCGGGGTGCCAGGGGAGAGGGGAGGCAGTCCCCGGTGCACCGGGCCAGCATGAGGGGTCCTTGGGGTCCGGGTGCTGGAGGGGCCCCCAGCTGCAGGCACAGGGGCGGGTGAATTTGCGAGTCCTCGGCTGCGTACGCGGGCTCCGGGGATGGATGGCGGTTCCCGTGCCAAGGGGCTGGCTCTGGGGGTGCCGGCTGCACGCTGGGGTGCTGTCTTTGGGGGGGGGGATGCCGGTGAACGTGCACGGGGCTGGCTTTTTGGGTCCCCGGCTGGACGCGCAGGGGCTGAACCCGGGGGGTCCCCGAGCCGGCAGCGCCGCCCACCCC